TCAAAACAGAAAATACTATGAATATTCTCATTTGTGGCTCCATTGCCTACGATCAAATCATGCACTTTAATGGACGTTTTGCCGATTATATTTTGCCTGGTGCGATAGCACGCTTAAATGTTTGTTTTATCAGTCATGCGATGCGTCGTGAATTTGGTGGCTGTGCTACCAATATTGCCTACAACCTCAAGTGCTTAGGTGGATCGCCAATGATTATTGCGACGATGGGCGAAGCCGACAGCCGCCCCTATATTGAGCGTTTGCAAAAACTAGATATCAGTACAGAACATATTTTGGAAGTCAATGAATCATTTACCGCGCAAGCCCTGATTACCACCGATAGCGATAATAACCAAGTCACAACATTTTATCCAGGTGCGATGAACGAAGCCCATCGTAATCCGCTGCCAACCCAGACAGGGGCAAAACTGGCCATAGTTGCACCAGACGGTAAAACTGCCATGTTGACACATGCGCAAAACTTGGCTAACAACCAAATTGAATTTATTTTTGACCCAGGTCAAGGTTTACCCATGTTTAACGCAAAGGAGCTCACCGCTATTATCGAGCAGGCGAGTTATTTGGCTTTAAATGATTATGAAGAAGAGCTCCTCAAATCGATTACAGGACTGAGCGACCAAGACCTGCTCAGCCGTGTAAAAGCTTTAATTGTTACGCACGGGGATAAGGGTTCTGTCATTAAAACAAAAGAAAAACAATATGATATATCCCCAGTGCCTGTTGCTAAGGCTTTAGACCCTACGGGCTGTGGTGATGCCTATCGCGCGGGTCTTTTGTTTGGGATGAGCCAAAAATGGGATTGGCAAGTATGTGGACAATTAGGCAGCATCATGGGCGCAATTAAAATCGCTAGCCAAGGACCACAAAATCACACCCCCAATAAACAGGATATTATGGCGCTGTACAAAACAACGTATGGAACGGAGTTATCATTGCCATAGTTTTAGTTTTGTATTCATAGTTATTACCTTAGGTAGGGAGATGGTGCCTAATACCCATTCTCCAACAAAGCGCTACTTTGTCATGGCTCCTAGCCTTACTACAGTCATGTCTTCGTCGCCATTTCGCGTAGCACTTTGATGGAGAATTGGTATAAAAGCTCATTAGGGCGACACCTAGCATAAAAATCCATTTGCCGTAATTTTTGCGCCTTGTGTAAGGTTTACCAACAGGAGTGCAGCTCGAAAATAAAATTTGAGGTAAAATCGAGTCCATGGACGTTTTAATGTGTCAAGATTTTTTATGCAATCTCATGCCCATTCTCCATCAAAGCACTACTTTGTCATAGCTCCTAGCCTTACTACAGTAAGGTCTTCGTCGCCATTTCGCGTAGCACTTTGATGGAGAATGGGTATCAATGGTCTACTTACCTGCCATTGGGATTGCTGAGGAAGGGTCTATTTTTCTAATTTCTTATTAGAGGTCATTTACTTATTATGAAAAGTACTGTTCTGAGAAAAATTGTTTTAGGGATGTTCTTTATCGCTGGGGCTTCAGGGGTTTTTGCGCAAGAGGCCAATGCCCGAGGGGATAGTGATGCAAAAAATGATTCCACTTTAAAGTTTGCAGGCAGAGCTCCGCTTGTGTCCGCAGAAAAACGAATACGGATTTGTGTTTCCGTCAGCGGTGGTAACCCTGCCGCCTGCAAATTTGAGAGCTTATCACCTGATAAATACTCACTAGGGCTAATAACCTTTTTAACGAGCGACTGATCTTGCGCGTCTAATAATGTTAAGCGGAAATAAGGCAAAGCCATAGGAACACCATCGGTATTGGAAATATTCATGGTAAGCTCATATTGACCAGCCTGTTCAGGAATAGCACGCATATCATGACTGATAAATTTGAGATTATCGATGTTTTTGGACAAGCGTGTATCGACACAGCCAATTTTTTCGCATGCGGCATCCATAATAGGCTTAGTATCGGGTAAAGCATTAACTATTGGGGTTCTGAACCAGTGAAGCGCTGCTAAAAATAAGGCACTAATAAAAAGCAATACGGCAAGGAGCGAAGCGAGTTGATTGAAAATTGAGGCACCTTTCCTGTCGTCTAAGTCGCTCACAAAAGTTAAGTCACTTTTTGCTGCGTTATCGGTGTTGTTAAATTCTTTGATTTCGATCTTCGGCTTAGCTTTCTCGGTTGTTGGGGCATCTGGAGTAAGCGCATCAGCAACGGCCACACCGCCAGCTGCTAAAGCTGCGCCTGTAGCAAGGGTGGTAGCCGAAACTCCAACACTGGAAGATGGACTGGCAGCGGCTGGTGAGGAACTCCAGTTCATGTCGAGCATAGGATCATGATCGGGGGTTACAACTTGGTCCACTTTATTTTCAACCCACTGCGCAGCATCTTTGGTCGTATCAACAACAGGATCAATAACTTTATCATCGACCCAGTTAGCGGCATCTTTGGTCGTATCAACTACAGGATCAACAACTTTGTGGTCTACCCATTGCGCCACATCATCAACTTTATCCCCAACAATCGTGTCTGTGGCCGCTAGGGAACTTGCAGAAGAGGACCAAATTTCATCGGCTTGGGCTTGGGCAATTTGTGTATTCGGCGTGGACTGGAGGTCAGTTGCATCTTCACGTAAAAAACCCAGTGTGTTATCAACAACACGCTCTGTTTTATTATCAATGGGGTCACTGGCATCATTAAGGAAATGATTCGCGAGCATCGTCCCACCCGTAGCCAGTGCCGCTCCACCCGCTGCCAAGCCAATCGAGTTGCCTATACCTCTGTCTGAAGACGGAGGGGGAGTCAAGGGTTCAGGCAACGTGTCTGCAACGAGATTATGAACTCTGGGCTGATGTTCAAACAAACGGTCAAAAGCGTTAAATACGGTATGACAGCTACCACAACGCACTAAGCCATTGCGAAGTTTGAGCTGGTCCTCAACCACACGAAAGGTGGTGGTGCAACTAGGGCAACGCGTAATCAGATTCATGTTTGACATTGAAATATTCCATCAAATTAAAAGTTATGGTTTTTTGGCTGTCAGCATTTGTCTATCAGTGCCCGCACAGGGCTCGCCACCACCAAGTACGCTAAATGGCAGTGTTTGACAGATGAAACCGCGTCTGATCCGTAACGCATCCTTATGAATCAAACACATGGGTAAACACAATACTGCACCATTACCCAGAGAGCAACCTTATCTGGTGCTATTTTACCTGTTTTTTCATGATTGTGGGAATTGACCCAAGTGAATCGTCGTTTTTGGACAACGAAATCTCTCCGCCCTCATTTTTTTGCCCAACCAAACATACCCAACCATCCTTTTCTTGCCAGACGGTTAAGGGTATCCACGGGGCGTAACAGGCCGTTAATAATTCCACTTGCTCAACCAAAATGCCAGATAAAACTAAAAAGCCATGGGTGTTAACCTTCTCACAGAGCATGGGGGCCAAAACTTGCAAGGGGTTGGCAAGAATGTTGGCAAGAACCACTTCGTAATGTTGCCCCATAAACACTTCAGGTAATCCCGTGTCCAGTTCAACATCGTTATAAGCCGCATTATCTGCCGTAGATTGTACCGCATTGGGGTCAATATCGGTGGCATCAACCGATTTAGCCCCTAATCGTGCTGCAGCAATGGCAAGTATTCCAGAGCCACAGCCATAGTCCATCACGTCAAAATTGGCCAAATGAGCTTGGTTGGCACATAACCATTCTAAGCATAATTGTGTTGTTGGGTGTGAACCTGTACCAAAAGCAAGGCCTGGGTCTAAACGGATGGTATGAGCTATGCCCTCTGGGAGGTCATGCCATGTTGGCACTATGGCCAAATGAGGAGGAATAACGATAGGCGCAAACTGTTGTTGAGTTGCACGCACCCAGTCTTGCGTCGGAACTTGCGTAACGGAGATGTGCAAAAGATCGATTGCTAACAAAGAAGCAATGCGTTGCTGCCACAAACCTGGATTTTGATCCTGCGCAATTAAGATTTGCAGTTTCGAGCTTTGCCAAGCGGTCTGAGTGGACATCATCCCAGGTTCGCCATACATGGCAATTTCATCGGGGGTATTGGCATGCTCATCACTCATGGTGATTGCTAAAATATCGTCTTCTTCAAGCAAAGCCTCCGATAAATACTCGGCTTGCTCGGCGGTTAGAACACACTCGAGCTGCCACCAGAAATCTTGATGATGCGCTTGTGTTGGCACTTACTTGCCCCCACGTTTTGCAAGCCAATGTTCCAAATAATGAATGCTAGTACCCCCTTTGATAAATTTCGGGTCATTCATTAATAGGCGGTGCAACTCAATGTTGGTTTTAATGCCTTCTACGACCATTTCAGAGAGTGCCGTACGCATCCGTGCAAGTGCTTGAGCGCGCGTGTCGCCGTACACAATCAATTTACCGATCATAGAGTCGTAGTTCGACGGCACGGTGTAACCATTATAAACATGGGAGTCCACACGAACACCCGGCCCACCTGGAACGTGCCAGACATTAATTTTGCCAGGAGAAGGCATAAAATTATAAGGGTCTTCGGCATTGATGCGACATTCAATGGCGTGACCTTTTAACACGATGTCTTTTTGTGTAAAGCCCAAAGGCAAACCACTCGCTACACGAATTTGTTCCGCTACCAAATCCACACCCGTGACTAGCTCAGTTACGGGGTGTTCAACTTGGATGCGCGTATTCATTTCAATAAAATAAAATGCCCCGTTTTCGTATAAAAACTCGAAGGTTCCTGCGCCAACATAACCCATATTGATACAGGCTTTAACACAACTTTCCCCAATATTATTAACTACATCCCTGTCTATACCGGGAGCTAATGCTTCTTCAATAATTTTTTGGTGACGGCGTTGCATGGAGCAATCCCGCTCTCCTAACCAAACTGCATGACCGTGTTTATCGCCCAAGACCTGAATTTCGATATGGCGAGGGGTTTGGAGAAACTTTTCAAGGTAAACCATTGGGTTATTAAATGCACGGCGTGCTTCTTCACTGGTCATGCGTACCCCATCAACCAAATCTTCACGCTTATGGATGACGCGCATCCCTCGGCCACCGCCACCACCAGCGGCTTTAATAATCACAGGATAACCGACTTCTTCGGCAATAGCGAGCATTTCTTCTGGATTATCCGGTAAAGCACCTTCTGATCCAGGTACCGTTGGCACCCCTGCCGCAATCATGGCTTGTTTAGCCGTAACCTTATCTCCCATTAAACGGATATTCTCTGGTTTGGGACCAATAAAGGTAAAGCCACTGCGTTCAACGATTTCGGCAAAATCTGCATTTTCACTTAAAAAACCGTATCCTGGATGAATGGCTTGTGCTCCTGTCACTTCGCCAGCCGCAATAATGGCAGGAATATGTAAATAACTTTTTTGAGAAGGTGCCGGTCCAATACAAACCGCTTCATCGGCAAGTTTAACGTATTTGGCTTCGCGATCCACTTCAGAATAAACGACCACTGTTTTAATGCCAAGCTCACGGCAAGCGCGTTGAATCCGCAGGGCAATTTCACCCCGATTGGCAATAAGTATTTTTTCAAACATATGAAAAACCTATGAAATTTATCTATGGCGGTGAGGCGGTTAAGCAATCACAAATAAAGGTTGACCAAACTCAACGGGTTGACCGTTTTCAACCAAAATTTCTTTGATGGTGCCACTAAACTCCGATTCTATCTCATTGAGTAACTTCATGGCTTCAACGATACACAAAGTCTTGCCTGAGGTCACGCTCTCGCCTATTTTTACAAAAGGATCTGCCTCCGGTGAGGGAGAACGATAAAAAGTTCCTACCATGGGTGATTTGACGACATTACCTGAGTATGACAAGTTTTCAGTATTGCTATTGTCAATAGAGGAAATCGTACTGTTTGGGACTAAATTAGAGGGAGCCACCGTATTGGCATTGTTATTAGGGGGAGCAACGGGTGCGGCTTGATAATGAACTTGAGGTTGCGCAACCATCATCGTGTTTGGGTTGTTTTTTAAAATCCGAACTTTACTTTCCCCTTCGGTGATTTCAAGCTCAGCCACGTCCGATTCAGCCACCAAATCAATGAGGGTTTTTAATTTTCTTAAATCCATGAATTCTCCTGATAACATAACACCGTACTTCGTATTTTTTAAAAATTTCATGCTTGACTGCATGTCAAAAGCACCTAACTTAAAAGGCACTCTACCGAATAATGAATATGGTGAGTCAACACCTTAGCGATCAAACACTCACATGTCGTTTGCATACAAACGACAAGCCTTTTCGCTCGTTTTTATTTTTTGCATTCTGACTGTTTGCGGTGTTTGTAAAACAAAGTCATCACAGATGGATCCAAGTGGCGTGTGTAACCAAAAATACGCTCACATCTATTTTGGCAAGTTGGCTCAGTGACCATCTTAATTTGATATACAAGCACTTTTCGAAATCAGCAGTTTTCAGAAATAGCATTTAGGATGTTAACAGAAATTCGCAGGGTTTTGTGACTTTTTGGCAGAAATTAATGAAATTTGTTTTTTAGGGGCTTTAATCTGCATTTGATAGATTAGATTTTACATTTGCCATGCAACACGATGACCTGGTTTACAAATTGGCTCATTTAGGTAACCACTTTTGGGCGATTTGGGTTATCCGAGTGAGGTTATTTTCTATTATACATGCAACCAATCTGCTTTGTGCGCTAACCAACGATCAATATGGTTTTGCGCAGCTAACGGAGCTTGTTGCCATAAGATATGAGCGATGTTTTGCGCTTGCACCAGCAGCTCATCATCGGTAGTGAGGTCTAAAAATCGAAAAGGCATTTGACCCGATTGACGTTGCCCCAATAATTCACCTGGACCGCGAATGCGCATATCTTCTTTGGCAATCACAAAACCGTCGTTTGAGGTTTTCATGATATGTAAACGGGCTTTTGCCGTTTGTGACAAAGGTGTTTGAAATAATAAGATGCAATAAGCTGCCAAACTCCCACGACCGACTCGCCCCCGCAACTGGTGCAGTTGTGACAAGCCAAACCGTTCGGCATTTTCAATGACCATCCATGAGGCGTTGGGCACATCGACCCCGACCTCGATGACGGTGGTGGCGACTAACAATTTGATTTCATTGGCTTTAAACTTTGCCATGATGTGATGACGTTCATCAGCTTTCATCCGTCCATGCAACAAGCCTAAGGGGGTGTTGGAAAAGTGTGCTTGCAAATTGGCAAACGTTTCTTGAGCCGTTTGTAGTTGCAGTTTTTCGCTTTCTTCGATCAAGGGGCAGACCCAATAGGCTTGCTCTCCAGCTGCTAGCACTTCTTGTAATCGATGGATCAACTCCTCACGGCGCTGCGCTGCAATCACTCGTGTGTTAATGGGAATCCGATTGGGCGGCAACTCATCAATACTCGACACAGCCAAGTCACCATAAAAGGCCATTGCCATCGTGCGCGGAATAGGCGTTGCAGACATCACGAGTTGATGGATATGGATCATCGGTTGCGGATTGGCAGGATTTTGCAAAGCTGAGGAAAAAGCACCATTTTGCGCAATCGGGTTGTTTTGATTGATTTTCTGGAGTAAGGCATAACGTTGCCCTACGCCAAAACGATGTTGTTCATCAATAATCGCTAAGGCTAATTGATGAAACTGAACCTGATCTTGAATCAAGGCATGTGTTCCGATAATGATTTTTGCCTCTCCGCTGGCAATTTTATCGAGCATCAACAAACGTTCTTTTTTCTTTTGTGCGCCAGATAGATAGGCCACTTGAAAACCCAACTCATTGAACCATTGATTAAATTTAATATAATGTTGTTCGGCGAGTATTTCTGTTGGTGCCATGATGACCGTTTGGTAACCCGCGCTAATGCACTGTAATGCACTGGTTGCGGCCACAACTGTCTTACCGCAACCGACATCGCCTTGTAACAAACGATTCATTGGGTGGTTTTGACTAAGATCCTGACTAATCTCTGCAATGACACGTTGCTGAGCATGTGTCAAATGGAGTTGAATTTGTTTCTGCCATCGTTCTTGTAATGAGGCGGTAATGGGAGCGAGGGCAATGGCACTGAGCTGAGCTCGTTTAGTTTTGGCTTGGTAGATGGATAACTGTTGCGCAACCGCTTCTTCAAATTTGAGTTTGTCGCGCGCCGGTGCTAACGCCACTTCAAGTGCACTTGGGTCAAGCTGGTTCAGGGTGGGAGGTGGGGTATGCAGTAAGGTAAAAGCAGCTTTTAGGCTTAAAGGGGACGCGCGTTTTGTTAATTGTTCAATAAGATCAATCGGTAAGGTTTCTGGTAATGGGTAACGATTTAACGTGCCTAAAATGGCCTTACGCAAATAACTTTGAGCAATGCCCGTGCCGGCCGGATAAATCGGGGTCAGCGTAGCGGGAAGGGGTTCATCTGGACAAACGACTTTCCAATTGGGGTGTACCATTTCTAAACCCCACATCGAAGAACGCACCTCCCCAAAAACACGCAGAATGCTTTGCTCATCAACGGCTTTTCTGAGTTTACTCATTAGAGTTGGGTAAGTGTGAATAAAGCGCAGTTGCAATGAGGTTTGTTTGGCACCCTCTCCCGCGACTAGGGTCACGGCAACCTGACTTTTAGCCCCACGACTGCAGTCAATTGCGACGGCTTTTCCTTCTATCTGGTGAATGGTTTGGCCTTTATTGATCGCTTTGAATAACTCGGTGAGGGGCGTAATTTTGGTTTCATCGTCGTAACGCAGCGGCAAATGCAATAAGAGTTCCCAAGCAGTGTTAAGACCCAAACGCGCCAACGGTGTTGGTTTGGATTGGGTGGTGTGCTTGGGTGAGGTTTGTTTACGAGGACGCGAGTTTGCCATCATTTTCTCAAGTTTTCTCGCTAAATAGCAAAGTCCTTATTTTACTTCAGAAAGCGTTTGACAGAGTTGTGCGAAGGCATCAATGGTACGAGGTGTTGCACGGGTGACCGTATCGGCATTAAGAACAATAAATTGTTTTTTTTGAAAGGCCTTCAAGTGAGGTAGAGTCTTCTTCAGGTTTGAAAAATAAGGCGCCGCCAAATTGCCCGTTAAGGGTTGTGAAAGGGAGGGTAAGACGG